CAGAGGCAAAGCTAAAAAGGCATTGTTTATAACACATGCCCCCTGGGGCTCCAGAGCTCTGTCACAGGCAACTTCTAGTTGCTGCTGTGGGGCCCAGCTGGTAAAGGGATCCTTCCTACTGGAGCCGAAAGGCACTCACCCCAGCTCCTGTACCCCCTCACCTGCATGCTCCCCCTCCTGAAAAGAGTTTGAGTGCAGCTAAAAGAGTAAATGAGCTACATCCCTGCTGCAAGCAACGGTTCAAAGGAAGACTCCCTCCCTTCTCAGGGCAACACAGCAAGACCCCATCTCTGCAGCAAATGAAAAATTAGCCAGGCATGGTGGTGTTCCTGTAATCATAGCTATATGGGAGGTTGAGGTGGGAGGATCACTTGACACCAGGAGTTTGAGGCTTGCAGTGAGCTATGATCATGCCACTGCATTGCAGCCTGGGAGACAGAGGAAGACCCTGTCCTCAAAAAAAAAAAAAAAAATAAATTTAAAAGTATCAGAGTATTCCATCCTAGGGATAAACAGTCCCTAATATGCAACTGCAACAAGGGTTCAAAGGACAACCTTTGTGCACATTTGGAATTATATTTTCAGAGTGTTCCTAAGTTTGTCATTACTCAGTTAAAGCTATATACCTGTCAATATTGATGGTATTTTCAAATTGGCCTTCAAAAAGATTACATCAATTTACATACCCATCAACAAATTATGCCTTTAATCAACACTATATATTAAAAAATGTTTTGATCCTGATGACATCTCCTTCCTACATTGCTGTTCCTGAATCTTGTTGTATCTGCTCAATTTTCTATTAGGTTGCTGATCTTTTCCTTAAATATAGTTTAGGAGCTATTTTTATATTTATAAAATTAGCCCTTTGGCTAATATACAGCCACAGATACCGTAACTAGTTTTTCAATCTGTCACTTGGTTTTGTTTGTGGTTTTCTTGCTTCGGATATTCAAATTTAATAATGCCTTTTTATAAAACTTACAGATTGTGTCTCTTAATTTAAAAGACTATGCCCACCACTGAGGCCAACCAACCAACTGCCAAATTTTCTCCTAATGATAATGCTGATGGTGGCGATGATGATGATGATTTTAAACCCCAACATCTAGCATTTATTATATTTTAAAGAATGAGACAGAATTCAAGCTTTCTTTATTATTTTTCTATTTCCCACCACCTATCTTGTTGTGTCAATTCATGTACCGAATAAACTATTTTCCTAACTGGTTGAAAAACTGATCTTTATTATATTCTAGGTAATATAATAGGTATATTATAATACTCAAATGCCTTACATCTTTGAGTATTTCCTGATCTCTATTTTAATCCATTAATCTGTATGTTTTGTCCTCTGCTAAGTTCAAATTCTTTTGACTTATTTTGGCATCATATTTATAATGAGTTTGGGTTTCCTCATTACTCTACTAGTTAAGAATTCTCTCAGCTATTTTCCCAAATTATTTTTAAAACAATGACGGTGACATTACAGATTCATTTATAAATATCAGACATTTAAACATATTCGGGCTTTCCATTCATGAATAATATGTCTTTCCTTTATGTAAGTCATGATATCTTTTTTGTCTCTAAGTAGGATTTAAAAATTACCTTCATAAAATTCTGCAAAATTATTAAGTATATACCTACATGTTTTATTTTACATAGCTGTTCTAAATAACATCTTGTACTGCATTTTAATTTGAATTGGCTGTCTGTACATAGGAAAGTTAGTTGGTTATACAGAGTTTCTATCAGCTATTTTCTCTATTCTCTTGATTTAGAAAATTTTTTTCTTTGAAAATTCATACTTCCCAGGAGTCCAAAATCACACGATTTGTCATAAATTATAATTTTCTACTTTCTTTCTTTCTTCTTTTTTCTTTCTTTTTTTTTTTTTTTTTTGACAGAGTCTCACTCTGCCACTCAGGCTGGAGTGCAGTGGAGCAATCTCAGCTCAGTGCAACCTCTGCCTCCCAGATTCAAGAGATTCTCCTACCTCAGCTTCCCAAGTAGTTGGGATTACAGGCACACACCACCACACCCAGCTTATTTTTGTATTTTTAGTAGACATGGGGTTTTACCATGTTGGCCAGGCTGGTCTGGAACTCCTGACCTTGTGGGCCTCTCAAAGTGCTGGGATTACAGGTGTGAGCCACTGCGCCTAGCCTCTTTACTATTTTTGTACCTCTTACTTGTGTTGTCTAACAGCACTGGCTAGATTAGAATAATACCAATTCATAATGGTATGTATGGGCAACTTTGTCTTTTTCCTAACCTCATTTTTTAAAAAATTTGCAGTAATTAATGGGATATAAGTGTAATTTGTTGCATGAATAGATTTCACAGTGGTGATGTCAGGGCTTTTAGGGTATCCACCACCTGAATAACATGCACTGTACCCATTAAGTAATTTTTCAACACCTACCCCCCTCTCATCCACCTGCACCGTTCTGAGTCTCCATTGTCTATCATTCTACACTCTACGTTCATGTGTACACATTATTTAGCTCTCATGAGTGAGAATATGTGGCATTTATTAATATATATCTGGGTCTGAATTGCTTCATTTCTTAATATATGTCTGGGCCTGAGTTGATAATGGCCTCCAGTTCCATCCATGTTGCTGCAAAAGACATGGTTCCATTCTTTTTTATAGATGAACAGTATTCTATTGTGTGTATATACAACATTTTCTTTATCTGATTTTCCACTGATGGGCACTTGGGTTGATGCCCTATATTTGCTATTGTGAATAGAGCAAGAAAAACATATAAGTGTAGGTATCTTTTTGATGTTATCATTTTTTTTCCTTTGGGTAGATGCCAAGTAGTGGGATTGCTGGATTAAATGGTGTTCTATTTTTAGCTCTTTGAGAAACCTCCATAGATATTGTCCTAATGTACATTCCCACCAAGTTTTTCCTAACATTAAAGGTAATACTTACATGAGTCTAGTATGTCAGTCTTTGGCTGCATACTGCCTTTCTTGTAAAATTTTGGAAGGAAATGGAAGCTCCCAATAAAGCTATATTGTATTTCACTCCATTCCTGAATCTCAGGAGAACTGTGAAAGTATTGAATTTCCCAAATCTTCCCTTAGTTCTCATCTATCTCTCCTGAATTTGAATGGAAACATACAAACTATTTTAGTTTATAGTTAATTTAAAAGGTAGTCTTAATCATTGTTATCTGTAATATTAATTTTGTATAGAATTATAAAAAATAAGGGTTTCACTGAAAGGAAATCTCTCTATATATATGTGTATGTGTGTGTGTGGGTGTGTTACCAACATAGCATGAAATTGTTAGAAGCATTCAATATTACAATAGTTTTGTTTCTATTTATAATCTTGCGATATAGGTATTTCATTATTTTTGTAAAGATAAGCCTGAATATGTTGTGATGTATTTTAGCTTTTGTGTTTTCTTTCTCTTTCCTTTGATCATTAAAGCTTATTTGTTTGAAATCTATACAAATAAATGAGCTGAAACACATAAAATTCAATCCACTTGAGATTTTGAAGACATCTGGTGGAGTTATTTTCTGAGTAATTAGACCAAGACGTGGCACAATTCCCTGAAGTAAGCTACCCTACAATTGGATACCCAGTTATATCTGCAGTCATCAGCTTGCATTCAGTGAGCATATTGATTCATAAATTGATAAGCAATTATGTAGAGCTGCCACCTGATTTTCTAAAGACCATTTATGTTATAAAGAATATGGCTCACATGCTTTTTAAAAAGTTACCTCTTCTCAGATCTCTCATAATCTATTCTATTTCTTTACATTCTGTCACCTCAATATGCTATTTATATTGTTGGAGACCTTGAAGTACAAAGGACAGCCCTCATGTGCTGGTCTCTACTTGTCTCTGGTTAATCCAAAACTTGGGCACAAATATGAATTATTTACAATTTGGATTTTGAAAATGGGTATCCATTTTAGTACAGAGATATATCTATGAAGGATAACAAAGATATTTAAATGTTTCAGTTTTTTGTCATGCTTGATATTCTTTGGTTTGAAAATGTTAAACAATAAAGTATTAATACTTAAATATACGTCAACATTACAAAATCATAAGCCTAGAAGAGATCTGAAAGGTCAAAGAGTTATTCTCCCTGTTGGAGAGGAAAAACACTTAAACCACCATGGAAAGATATGTATGTTTCCAATTTAAAAGAACTCCAGGAAATTCCACAACTACCCTAACTTACCCATTGTGGAGCAGAAAATTATTATCAAGAAACTTTCCTTTATATCTAATTTAAATCCCACAGGTTATTAGAATTTACTTCATCCTTTCTTTGCCTTTAGTATTTTATCTTTAAGGATGGTATTTACAGAGCAACGAAGTCAGGAGTTTTAACCATGCTAAGGGCAAAGCTAATCAGATCAACATCTTCTAAGAAAGGGCATTTCTTCTGTTCATGGATCCTACACTATCACTGTTCTCAATCACCCTCAATTTGATTTTAGATAAGAGTTAGGAAGTTAGGATCCACTTTTGGGTGTAAGTTATAAGATCCTTGAATCTATGACATTTGCAAATCCTTAACAAATACAGGGGCAAACTATGCACATGAATTAACATTAAACAGTAATGTAAACATGTTCAATTTATCCTAGTTAAAAATGCTCTCCAGATCTCAGCATATTTAGATCTGACTATCACGCAAGTGCAACTGAAGAACATCTTTTGCTAGGGCATTTAACATTGTGAGTCTATTTGTTTACATTATTTATCTTCTTAAGTATGAACCATGTTTTAATTTCATGTAGTCCAACAGGAATTGAGTCAAGATTTATTCATCACATTTTACTTTGCAGTGCATGAAACAAGATCACCAAATCTTAACCAAACCAATTGAAAACTTTTTGTCAAAGAAGAACTTCATTTCCCATTCCACTAATTGAAATAATGGTATGGCCACAGGCTAGAGCAGTGAGTAAGTGAATCTTGAACTGCAATGCAAATGCAATGGAAAACTCACCTGAAGTTTCATCTACCCTTTCATCTACTATGTGGTCCTTCTGATGAACCCACTCACTGTTACACTTGAAATAGATCTGGGTGGCAGGGCTGGCTTTACAGTACAGGTTCACAGGCTTATTCTTCACAATATAAGCTTCTTCAGGCTCAATAAGGAAATGTGGCAGAGGCTCAGGTGGGTCAGAAGGAAAAGTTTCTGGGAGTTCATGAAAAAAGTCGTCGTCTGCAAAACAAGAAGAAAGTGGAAAATGGTTAACACATTGGAACAACTTGCCTCTTACTTGCTAGTCATGTAAAAATAATGACTCATAAATGCAATAATTAAGTGATTTGAATGCCTGCTGTGTGTCAGGCAGTATGCTAGATCCATTGACTGGTCGTTCAGTTAAGGACGTGGATTATTATTCCCATTTCTACACACCGCAAAACTCAACATCAGGAAAGATAAATAAGTTGCCCTGAGCACATAGGTAGTAAATAGTAGAACTGAAACCGAAATATATGTGTATCTCAACTAAAAACCACGATCTTCCCAATATATCACTGTATTTCCCATTATAGAATGTCACCCTTGAGAGCAGACAAAAGCAAGAGCAACTTTGTTAGAAACATTTCTTTGAAAAGTATAAGGCTCACAGATAAAGCTTACATCCTTTGCAAGGAGCTGAGCAGAAATATTAGAAACATGAATAAAGGATCTTTACATTCAAATTCACATCTGTTGTTATTTTCAAAAGATGTCACTGTGTGAAATATTCATTCAACTCAAAATTTAAAAACCACTTTAGATAATTTACACACTTTGAGATACATTTTAAACCTAGATTTTGCATGATTCAAATAAAAAATTAATAATAAAAGTGCTTTTAAAAATAAAACCTATTATTGTGTTTTACAAAAGTCAAGGTAAAAAGAGTCTTTTCAATACACCATACATAAGTTCAGCCTAATAATAATCTTCCTATGTGGGACAGAGGAGAACAAAACTATTATTAATTCCCCAAATTGGTTAAATACCCAGGCAAATATGGAATGTGAAAACTCTGATGTTAAAATTAAAATTTTTACAAGTTCCTTAAATGTACTTGTATTTAGTAGTAAATAGAGCATATGGTACTGGTTCTTAAAGACTGGTTGCTCACATGTTGCCTGGAAAGTCATTTCATTACTCCTTCAGTTGTTGTCCTGCGTTAGTCATTGGTATAGTGGACATCTGTCCACTAAGAAAACTGGCTTGGAACTTTTTTCATTCAAGTCATAAGACAGATATCAAATAGTAATGGTGTCCGGTCTCTGCTAATCTGTTTTGCAGTAAAAATTGACTTTACCTGCATCACTGACAAAACTAGCATTTAAAGCTGCCCACAGCTGTAAATTTCTGACACTGAAATGTAAATGTTGTTTCCTATACCTAGATTTCTTTCTCACTTTACTTCCTTAATTTGCTTTCTTTTGGCAGGGCATCATTTCTAGTTTTTCCATTGTTGAACATCAAGGACCAAAACAGTCAGCTTACTAAAGAATAACCTTATTTCCATCAATTTCAGCTCCTTTAGTCAATATGCAAGAACACTCAAGACTGCTTAAATAAACATAGTTCAGAAAGGCAAAGGGATGAGAAATTGAACTATTTATTGACAAATCCATCAGCATGAAACTGACGTCTTGAAGGTCTTATCCAATCTTTTCTTTCTTCTAAAGCACTTACTGTTATATGTGATGATGGACAGTGCTGATAATCAATAAAACTCCACAAAATATGACTCAAACTCTATAGAAGGTTAGCTATTGCTTTTTATTATTATTATTCATTAAGGCAGAAGGTCAACTAGATTTTATTTTTTAACTATGTCTGTACACACAAAAACATGTGAATGTATTTAATAACTATATTTAAGCATGAAAAGTATAAAAAAATCTTTCAGCCATTGCTTCAGAAGGTAAAACTTGTCCTTTAAAAGGAATGATTGCAAGATACGGAAGTTTGTATACTACCTTACCTTATTCAATAATATAGCAAAAGTATTTATATGTTCACATGCTACAGAAAACTTCATAGGCACTAAAAATTTATTACTTTGCCTTGCCAAAGCATGTCTCTCTTTCTTCTGATTATTTTATTGTAAACTACTGAAAAAACAAATGGAAGCAAAAAAGTCACACATTTTCAAGTCAAAAGCAGCTCTTTTAAGTGCTGGGGGAAAAAGTAATAATTTAACAATATATTTAGAAAATGTATGAGCAAACTCACTTTGTATTTCCTTAATTTTAATTTTTAAGACCACATGATCACAGCAAGTAAAGAGAAATAAACTTACATCTTGGTTTGAGGTTTTACACAGATTTTTCAAGATGTTTGTTAACTCTTGAAAATGCAACTTATTAAGGAATGATTTCTATCATTCAGAATGCTTTAATTTGATAAATCCAGTGTTTACTTTACATATCATTCTAGTTTCTGCAGAACCCATCTCTTAAAGTTGATCTAGAGAGATGCCTTAGCCAACCACAGCATATTAGTTTATTAAAATTTCCTGTAATATTCACAAAGTAAATTCAAGCCTATGTTCTAGATGAATTCCTGACAGGTAATATGGCATAACGCTTTTATTACTCAACTCAGTTGTTGAGAATGACATTAATATAGAAAATTCAAGACCTTGAGAGTAGATCTGTACAGTGGGACAGATATGACAAAATGCAGACAAGCTGATTATTAGTGGGCTCACCACTGTTGTGAAATCCTTCCCTTCTCCACATACAGTAGATGGCCTGGTACCTTACCTAACCACAGAAGGTGGTCCCACCATTAAGTTAAGCATACTAAAAGAACACTTTCTGTTTCTTGCTCCATACAAAACTGTCAAGTTTCAGCATTAATTCCCAGACACAGTGTTAGTTTAGAAATTGTCTTTTCATAAAATTGTATCCTAAATTTTTCTTTTCTAGAGAAAGTTTTGAAAAATCAAACAAGCAAGCCAATTCTCTTCACCTAAAAGAATAGATGAAAACTAATTTAAACATCCAGCATGGCTATAGCTACATGTATTTAAAGATAAAAAGTGATAAGCTGCAAATACCTTTAACCTACATGAAAAGTTCACTCCTCTGTGCAATGCATTTGCCTGAACACATGTGGAGAAATGTACTTTTGAGCTTTGCAATTGGCTTTTTAAGACTATTACCAGTTTTCAAAAAACTAGAACTATATAACAAATGCTTAACACTAGAAATTAAACTCTTTGAAGGCAGGGGCTGTATTGTTTACATTTTCACTTTTCATAAGTCTAGCACAGTGTCAAGCTTATTATAGGGGGTCAATAAAAATTTTACAAATGCATGAATTTTATACTAATGGCAATTTTGATCATTCCTAAAAAATTCACAAGGGATTTTACAGTTTATAGTGCTTCAGATTCACTTACAATTATAATATGAATGGAAATACATACAAATAGGACTGGCTACAAAATCTGTGTGGCCCAATGCAGAATGAAAATTCAGAGTCTCTGGTTAAAAATTTATTAAGAATTCTGGGATGGTGACAGCAGAACATTAAATCAAACACTGGTCCTGTATAACAGCAGAGGTCACATACCCGTGAAGCCAGCCCTGTCTGTAAGTGTCAATTAAATGAGCGCCCCACTTCATGGAAAGTCTGAAAAATGAAATTGCATCTTTATTATTGGATATTCATTTTGGGGCTTAGTTGGTTTTTCCCAGCTTCTTGTGGTAATTAGATATTTTCTAAAGGAAATCACAATTATTCAGACTGAGAAACTCAGACTCACGTCAATTATCTAAGCAAGTGTATTTGCAATGTGTGCAAGGGAATGCATGTGACTTCATGTGTTTGTGGCCTTCCTTTGGATATTCCCCAGTGTTCATCCAAGGGCCTCTGATCCAAAATAAGTAAAAGCCCTGCCGTGCTAAAATTTTAACTCGTTCAGGGCATTAAAGGACTGCTGAACCCATGGGGATAAGAAAGTTTGAGATTTCACCCTGAGGTGGTAGACTGTTTACTGAGGTCAGTACCTTGCATTCAATTCATATTACCATACTACAGAAAAAAACAACTCACAAAACAAAACAAAAGAACCCCCAGCTTTCTGATATTGTTAGGGCCATGCTGCAAAACTTGAAACTATAAAAAAAATTGATTTTTTTCTAATCAAGAAGAGCAGTGAGTACATCCTCTTACCACTTTATTTCTTAATATAAATATCTGAAGGAGTGAGATTAGGGTGATAATAGGAATTCGATCTGTGAACAGCAACTTCAGACTGTGAACTTATTTCTGGCAACAGGCCACAGGTTTCCCAAATTATTACATTTTCTATAAAGCTACACCCCAGCTGCTGATATTGACTGTACTGTGCTATCTGGGCAAATTGACTTGATTAATTAACTTGTGAAACAAGTTTTGTACATGTAGTTCATTCAAATTAACAAAGTAAAATTTCCAGAGCTGCTACTGTTCTGTACAACGAATTCAGTATTAACTTAATGCTTTTTTGATTTAGAGATAACGTTATTATTCATTTTGCCCTCCTCCGATATTTCACTTAATTTTCCACTTTCTACTATTACTCAATACTGACATTCCAACAGTAGTACCATTTTTATCTTGATATCAATAAATCTCAGTATTTCCTTTTCTTCTGTTATCTCATATAGGCTTTTGTTTTTTCATTTATATCCGAGAAGAGAAAGCTTTGCATCATGTATTATTTTTATAGACTTTCATTCCACCTAATTCTTGACAGGAAAATATTATGCTATGAACATCAATCTAGGGAGCTTTAGGTTGGTGGTTTTATTGCTATATATCAGGCCTTAATTTTCATCAACTTAATACATAAGTTTCTATATTTCTGAATCATAAGACTTAAACCATTATTGCTTATATCATAAAATATAGGACCATTACCTCTTTTGTCTGAGACTTGAAGCATATTCTTCTGAAATGGAATTTACTTTCAAATGATTCAAGAGCAATTTAAAATGAATGACCGCAAAGCTAATTTTATCTGCATTTGGCTACCCATCCATCAGAGAGATAATTCATGATATATTACTACAAAAGGCAGCTGGAATTAACTATTTGAATGAGACTCTAGCTTATTTTTAATATTTTGATTAAAACATCCTCTGGAAGACAAAGACTATGGTCTATATTTCAAGCAATATATTAATGGATTCATCATTTAAATTCAAGTCATT